ACATATGAACAGTGTAGGCCTGCAGGGGTGGCCTGTGCTTTAAAAAGTGTAATGAAGTCATACATTGGTAAGAAAATACCCACTAGACATGTGCCCAATGAATATTCATTTGATACAAATAATTTAGCACACTACATCCGAAGTACAGTTACTACACCAGGCAACAGAATAGTAGTTGTATAATTTTCGTACTCCACTGTAAACAAGTACTCCAAGGCTACAAACAATCATATCATGCACTGTAGCAAGCATATACTACAGAGTCAATTAAAACCAGTTTTAATAGGAGTTTTGGCAGCATGAGATTGATTTTTAGCCTTGGTACTTTGTTCATAGATTATTAGGATCATATTTTCCTAAACAGAAGTACAGCTGCTTTCTCCCCTTCAATGGCCTAGTCTGTGAACATAAGGATTTATAATCAATAGTTAAAAAAAATGTATGGGTTGAAAAAGCACTTTCGTTGCCGTGAATTCTATGTCATTAACAAGAACTTTTTTCCCCTCTATTACATATAATTTAAATTTTATTAAATATAAATTTAACTTTGAAGATTTGGGGCTACTACATATTTAATTAACACAAGTGACTAAAATCTTAAAATTATAAATGCAGGGTAAAGGCTACTGGTTTTGCTAATTATAAATCAGGGGAAGTCTGCAAAACAAAATCCAGTTTCTGATCTCAGAACACGTGAGTACATATGGGGGATTCTATTGAATTCAGCAAAATTATCTGGATTTAACTTGCCCTTTTAATTTACAAAACTAAGGCCCACAGCTCAAAGTCAACTGAAAGACTTCAGTGGACTTTGGATCAGGGACTTAGGGCATTTTACATGTGCTCCAAGAGCCACTCTAATTAAAGCACCTGGAGCATCTCATATATCAGTATCCCCATGCTTCAAAATGGTGAGAGGAATGCTTTATCTAAAGCTTGTCAAAGGAGCTTCAGTTAAAGCGCCCACACCACCATTTTGAAGCATACGGATGCTGATACACTAGATATGGAGGCTGGCTGGAGCATGCTAATTAGCATGCTAGAGAAGACTCAGTTAATCGAGTCTGCTCCAACATCATATTTACAGCATGCAGAGCAGGCTCCCGACGTGTACAGGAACCCTTAGTACCCAAGCAACCTATGTTTTTCTTCACTACAGTTTGAGATCTCAGACCTTCTCCACAAACAATTTTTGTCTAGATTTATTCTGGTGTGATTTTTTTCTAGCAAGCAAAATAAATTGATGCAATTCCTACTGTTCTTGCACTTAAAGCTACATGAGAGGCAGTCTTCTGCAGATACATTAATTATGCCTATGGGAATAAGTTAACAGTAAAGCAATATAACTCTCCAATATAAATCCACACTCTTGGAATACACTGCTTTGAATATACTGAAATAGTTATAGTAGTACAATGGGTGTACACAAACCTAAGACTTTAAAGTCATCTGTGCATACAAATCAATTTTTTTGTCCATTCCCAGGTTCTGTACTGTTTTAAGATACTGTGTTTTATGTTTTAAAGACATACTAATGTTTAAGATTATGATTGCAGAGATGAAATCAGGAAGGCCAAAGTGCAACTGGAGTTGCAGCTAGCAAGGGGCATGAAGGGTAACAAGAAGGGTTTCTACAAGTATGTCAGCAGAGGAAAAATCAGGAAAAGTGTGGGTCCCTTACTGAATGGGGGAGGCAACCTAGTGACAGATGAGGAGAAAAAGGCTAAAGTACTCAATATATCCTTTCTACCTCAGTCTTCACAGGCAAGGTCAGCTCCCAGACCACTGCACTGGGCAGCACATATTGGAGAGGAGGTAAGCAACCAACAGTGGCAAAAGAACAGGTTAGAGACTATTTAAAAAAGATGGACATGTACAAGTCCATGGAGCTGAATGCAATCCATCCAAGGGTGCCGAGGGAGTTGGCTGATGCAACTTCAGAGCTGCTGGCCATTATGTCTGAAAACTCATGGCAAATGTGGGAGGTGCTGGATGACTGGAAAAGGGGAAGTACAGTGCCCATCTTTAAGAAAGGGAAGAAGGAGGATCCAGAGAACTACACATCAGTCAGCCTCACCTCAGTCTCCAGAAAAATCATAAAGCAGGTCCTCAAGGAATCCATTTCTAAGAATTTGAAGGAGAAGAAAGTGATCAGGAACAGTCAGCATGGATTCACCAAGGGCAAGTCATGCCTGACCAACCTGATGGTCTTCCATGTCAAGATAACTGGCTCTGTAAATGCAGGGAAAGCATTTATACCAAGTATATACCTTGGTTTTAGCAAGGCTTGTAATACAGTCTGCCACATCATTCTTGAAAGCAACTTGAGGAAGTATGGGTTGGATGAATGGACTGTAAGGTGGACAAAAAGCTGGTTGGATCATCACGTTCAATGGGTAGTGGTCAATGGCTCAAAGTCAAGTTGGCGGGCTACTGGTATCAAATGCAGTGCCCCTAGGGCCAGTTTTCTTCAATATCTTCATTAACGCACTTGGTCCCAGTCCCCCCGCCCCAGCCCCACAGTACAGGTGAGGACCAGCTCATGCAGCCCCAACCCCACATGCAACATGCTCACCCATCTGAACTAAGCAGTGGTGGTGCAGGACAAACTGCTGCTCAGTACTGGGGAAAAACAGCCCTTCCCCCTCCTGCTGCTGGCACTTCCTGGTACAGCCACTCAGAGTATGCGTGGGGCTGTCCTGCATGTCCACCGTGTCACCGCCACACCTCTGGGATACCCCATGGGGCAGCGGTGGCAGTTCAGAGCAGACACAGGGCAGCCCCACATGGGCTCCGAACAGCAGCACCAGGAAGCATTGGCAATGGGAGGGGAAGGGGCCTCTTTTCTCCTACACTGAGCAGCAGTTTGTCCTGCACCACCACTACTCAGCCTGGGCCCCAGCACTGGGCTCACCCTTCAGGGCTGAGCAGTGGCAGCAGCAGCTAGGCAGAAAACGCTGCTCAGTGTGGGGGAAAGCCACCCCTCCTTCTCACCGCCACCAGGCAGTTTTTGCTGCAGCCACCTAGAACCCACACTGCACTGGACTGCGGTGTGGCTCCTTCACCACCGCCTGTGAGCTGCCCCACGGCTGCTTCACACTGTCACTTCTGCCATGCTGGGCAGCCCAGAGGCAGTGATGTAGGAGCTACATCACAGGCTGCTGCAGCACGGGCTCCGGGTGGCCGCAGCAAAAACTGCCCAGCAGCAGTGAGAGGGAGGGCCTGATTTCCCCTGTGCCAAGCAGCAGTTTCTGCCCAGCTGCTGCTGCTACTGTTGCTACTCAGCCCTAACAGGCAAGCAAATAGATGGCGTGGAGAACACAGGGTTGCAGATACACACACTGGTCCCTGCAGCTACTGCTGCATGTCCCGGGGCAGCAGGCATGCCACGGCCCGGCCAGGCAGTGCAGGCACTGGGGCTGTGTCCTGTTGGTGGTGGCGGGGAAATGCTGCAGGGCGCTTGGGCTCTGCGCTGTTGCAGGGTGGGGGCAGGTGCTGACCAGCACACTAGCAGAGAAATAGCCCTGGTAGGCACTGTCTCTCGGATGTACTTTTCTGAGGCACAGTCCCTGTCTCCTATTTGCCACATGTGCGGCGCGCGAGCCAGGTTGTGGCTGTAGCCCCGGTGGGTTCTATCTCCTGATGTTAGTTTGCGAGAGGGAGAGGTGGACTCGTAATGGTTACAGAACATTTTATTTATTTACTTACACGCCACTGATGTAGATGTGGCTGCGCAGGCAGTTACACTTGGTTCAGTCCCGGTTCGGATAAGGGACGAACGAACGACAAACAAAGTCTCTCACTTGCACACCACCGGTGTGAACATGGCTGCACAGGCCGATTTCTGCCCCAGTTCAGGTAAGAGACGAAAGAACAGAACACAAAAACGATGGATCTCGGTTTGGGTGAGGGATGAAAACAGAATGATCCGTCCCGGTCCGAATAAGGAACAGATGTAAAACAAAACAATGGATATCCCGAGCGCAAGACGAGCCGATCGGTACACAGTTGCTCCGGAGACAGGAGAAGCCGTGGGAAGCTAGCCGGGCCTACCCACTGAGCGGTGGAAGCTCCGGGTTCTCTCTCTCTAGCTGACACACACCCTCACACACACCCACTGGGCGGAAACTCCACCCTCGCCTTTATAGGCCAGATGACAAGCCCAATTTCAAGCCCCCAATTGGTCTAAAACGTTTGCAGGGTTTTCCACAGGGGACGGGGTTTCCCCAGCACATGGTCAGGGCCATGCAGCAAGGGACGGGGTTTCCCCAGCACATGGCCAGGGGCCATGCAGCAAGCCAAATAGCGGCTTTCCAGATTGTGAGGCCAGTGCTTGGCGGCATCTGTTGCTGGGCAAAGCTGGCAGAGTCCAGCTGAAGTGTGACACCACAGAGGGAAAAGGCAAGAATATGCCGCTGCTGCTGCTTAGAGCTCTAATGCAGGAGGAAACATTTCATAGAGAAACTCAGTGCAGCCACCCAAGATGACACACGTGGCACAACCCTTTCCAAGCTAGCTATTTGAGCAGGTACACAGGGCAGTTTCATCTGGAGACAGCAAAGCCCAGGTGAGAAGCAGTGAGATAAACTAAGGAAGCACCAACAGTGGTCCTCATCCAGGGATACCTCCATATTCAAAACAGTGGCGGTGGACTGCCACAACTGAGCAAGTTGAAGATCACTGCTGTATACATGTTGGATGAAAAGATCCACAGCAGAACAACCCAATATTTTAAATTCAGGAGAGGGCAGATAATGCCACAAGTTACTAACATAACAAATTGATATCTACTTTGTCATGTTGATCCACACCTACTTTCTTATCTTCTGAGGTTTTACTGATACCTATGGTAAAACTACACAGTCCATTCATTATGTTAGCACATATTTAACTCACCGCAAGGCACAAAAGTAGGAAAGAAAAAAACCCCTCTCAATTGACAAACTTTCTATAATTGAATAATAATGAATGTTATCATCTTCATTGATAGACGCTCTTACCTTTATCAAGTAAACCTGAAATGCCCTTTTCTCCTCTTCTGTTCCAGGAACAAAATAAATGAGCTCCAACCTGTGAAGAAAGAACATTTTGAAAATAATTAGTGATACACTGAAAAGAGTTTCCATTTACTACTACTATGGGAGAGACTTTCTATATAGTCCTACTGAGTAAAGTAAAACAATGTTATCTGGAGGGAAAACACTCTAATGATTACAACATATGGCTAGTTAAATATTCACTACAGTATTTTGATATGTGACACTGTGAACATTCAATTCAATGAAACTCAGCATTGTGATAGTGAAGTATCAAAGAATTTTAAAAGTACAGTATCAACTATGGGGAAGAATTCCTTCACATTTGGCAATTTACACTGTAACATCAACTTCGTAGGAATATTGGCAGTATGCATGTACTGCAACTTATCAGACATTCTTTGAATGGATTAGGTGCCTAAGGCGGCATGATGGCCAAAGTAAAGCAGGATATATGCCGCTAAAAATAATTCCTGCAGCAAGATAATTCAACCATGCTTTAAAACAAACATGCTCTTTTTGAAACAAATGAAAAAACATGCACAAACTTCACGTCAGCAATGCTATATGTGGCACATAAATGGTAAACACTAGCTGTTAGCCTCAAATGGCACAGTGATTCTAGGCTAAATTCACAGAGGGGACTTAAGCTGCACGTTGCAAGACCTAATACTTCGGCTCTCTGCCACTTATTGTAATTCACAACCCCAAGTTAGGCACCTATGTTCTTTATACAATAGGGGAAAATTAGACACCTTAAACTAGTATTCACTAGAGCCAGCATACCAAGGGGAAGGTGGGAAAGGAGTGGACAGAATCTGCCAATGACAGCCAGGTGTAGGGGTGCTTGCAGTGTAAGTAGTACCTCCTGGTGGATTCTCTCAGGAATCAGGTAATGGAGGTCCAGGAAGAGGCAGATTGGCTCAGAAGCACAAAAATACTGCCAGTATTACGGTAAAGGGACAGATAGAAAAGGCACTGAAAGACACAGGTACTCAGGAGAATGAAAGCTGGCTGCTTGCTACCAATGGCAAGAAACAGCATACCAGAAGAGGTATGAAGCCATGGCATTGGCAAGGAGGAGCCCATTCAGTGGCAGGAGAGGCCAAGTCATATACCCTTAAGGGGGAAAGGATCAAGACCTCTGTTGCCAAGAAACAACAGATGGTGGTGGTTAGGCACTCCCTCCTGCACGGCAAAGAAGCATCCATCTTCCAGCCCAACAGGTTAATTCAGGAGATCTGCCATCTCCCAGGAGCCTGCTTCTTAGACATCACAGGAAGGTTACTCAGACTCATCCAGCCCTTTGACTATTATCCTATGTTGCTCATCCATGTGGGCACTTATGATATGGCAGAGGCAATCTGGAGCAAATCAAAAGTAACTACCAGCAGGGCTTTGGCTTCTTTGACCATGGAGTGCTGTTCCAGGAAGATGGACTTCTGAGAAGAAATGGGGTCCAGCTGACAAACAGAGGGGAGAGTGTCTTTGCATATAAGCTTGTTAACCCTAATGAAAAGGGCTTTAAACTAAGTTTCCCAGGGAATGGAGACAAAAGCCAAGATATAAGTAAAGAGCCAGGGGACTTGGATTAAAAAAAAAAAAGCAATAGCAAAAGCCTTAACAATGTTCTCAGGGAGAAGTTAAGACAATCAATTTGATACCTGAAATGTTTATATACTGATGAGAGAAGTATATGGAACAAACAAGAAAAACTGAAGGTCCTACTCCTAGATTCAAGTAAATACGGTAATACAAGCACTTGATTATGGAGACCTGTTAAATCACAGATCTAGCAAACAGGAGACATGCGTTATAGCCAGTAGTTCCAGCTGGCTACCAGCCTAACAAGTATTAACTGGCAGGCTATAATAGCACTTAAACTGGGATTGGAAGGAAGATGCATGACTTTACATCACTGGGGAAGTTGAGTTTAGTGAGATGAATATCAGGAAGCTCAAAATGAGTGAGAGTTCTTGGAAAAAAAAGGGACATCTCAGAAACAGTATAGAAAAACCATTAGCAAGTTTTGCATACAACATGATTACACAGGGCTAATAAGGGCAGATTAAAGAGGGCACCACCCAGATTTACTGCTGTCAACAATGACTGAAAGACAGAAGTGGGAAGGGAAGATGAGACAGTGGGTTCTTGACTCAGCTGACAGCAAAGAATCTACATAAGCTCCAAAGCATGGAAAACAATCATGTCAAAGGAGGAAAATATTTAAAATAATTAAGGTGAGATCTAAATTGTCAACAAAAATGAGAAGTAAGGAAAGTGAGAATTATGTAGGGATCCTAGGATTTGCCCATAAAGAAGTTCCTGGAAACCTCAATGAGAGCAGTTTTAGTCAACAAGAGAACAGGAAATCTAATCTGGAGAGAACCAAGGACAAAGCTGAAGAACTGTATTGGGCAGACTGCCTAATGAGTTCATAAGTTTCATAGTTTCTAGGGTCGGAAGGGACCTGAGCAGATCATCTAGTCCGACCCCCTGCCATGGCAGGAAGAGCACTGGGGTCAAATGACCCCAGTAAGGTGGTCATCCAACCTCCTCTTAAAA